GCGGCTGGCCCAAGCACGTCGACCCCAAGAACTCGGAGCTGACCTCTCGCTACCGGGAGGAGGTGGAGAGGGAAGAGGCCTACACCAAGACTGTGCAGCGCCTCGGCTTCGTAAGAGCCTGCCCTGATCCCCCCAGACCCCCCGGGCCCCCCAGAGTCCCCCAGAGCCGTGCTGTCCCTGCAGGTGATGGAGCACTACATCAGGCAGAACAACACCATCGACATCTATGAGGAATATTTTGAGGAGGAAGAGGAGGAAGAGGAGGAGGAGGAGGAGCATCCCTCAGCCAAAACCATCAATGTCGTCAGGTAGCACGCAGCTGGGGGGGCTCTCCAGAGCCTCAGCGGAGTCAAACCACCTTCACAGAAAATGGGGGAACGTTAGGAGTTAAATTCCAGTGGGTTTGGAGTGGTCCTGGTGCAGTTTGTGGGTGCAGTGATCCACAAACCTGAACCCTCCATGCCCCACCACTCCATCCCTGCCCCTCGCCCTGCCCAGGCAATTTGGGGATGGGAACCAGGGTCAGACTCAGCTCTGAGCATCTCCTGATGGTGCTTTGGATTTTCCTCCTTGTTCTTGGTGCCTCTAAGGTTAATTTCCACATCAGGGCTGTTTAGGAGTCAGATCCAGTAAGATAATTGGATTTTTAGAAAGTTATGACTGGAAAGAGGATGAAATCATCAACTCTTCTCCCCCCTCCCGACCCCTCAGGAGAATCATTTCCTGCACTCAAGGCTCGAGGGCTGCAGATTGGTTTCCTTGTGGTTTCCACAATTCCCTGTGGGAGATGTTCATCCCAGGGATTTGCAAACTGACCCATCTTGGCTGATGTGTCGCCCCAAAGGGACCCCAACAGGCCCAGGAGGATGGCCACGCACGTCTCCTGGCACCCCGACGGCAACCGGGCCATGGCCGTGGCTTATTGCAGCCTGGACTTCCAGGACAGCAGGAAGGACTTGAGCTTTGATTCCTACATCTGGGATCTGGGTAAGGGCAAGGCCAAACCCAGCAGGTGATAGGGGAAGCACTTTGTGTCTCAGAGAGCAGGTGGAGGCTTGCAGCACCCCGGGGAGGGTCGCTGGGGGAGCCTCAGTGCAGAAACAGGAGAAATGGGAGCTGGGAGGTGGGAAATCACCACTGAAATCCCACTCTATGGCTCCCCAGCCATGCCAGGCAGCAGAGCCTCACATGAGGGTCTTGTGTTGATGTGGTTCAGCTGGTAATGAAGGAAGGAAGAGGCAGCAGGAGCCCGGGGTGAGACTTGTCCAAGCCTGTCTCACACCTGATGTGTTTTGGAGTGAAAAGGACAAAGAGAAGGGTGGGAATGCAGATTTGTGTGCTGAGGGTCTGTCCCTAGGCCAGCTCCAGTGACATAGGCACATCATCCTGCACAGCTGTGTCAGGGAACGGGTGGGGACAGCAGGGTGGGCTGGGGGCTGCTTTTGGGGGCTTCACCCTTTACTCTTCACTCATCCCTCCTTGGCAGAAAAACCCTACACCCCAGAGCTCACCCTCAAGCCCTCATCCCCTGTGGTGACCCTGGAGTACAATTCCAAGGACTGGCATCACGTGCTGGGAGGCTGCTACAACGGGCAGATAGGTGAGGGGGTTAATTCTGCTCCAGCCTGGCTCCAGCCCTGTTGCACTGACAGAATCTGTGCTGCCCCTGGGAGCACAGGAGAAACCCTGGGATTTACCTGTGGCCAGGTGTGTGCTCACCTGAGCAGGCACCCAGGGAGGGGAGGACACTGTGCCAGGGAGCCCTTCACAGCGGATGGATGGATGGATGGATGAATGGATGGATGGATGGATGGATGGATGGAGGGATGGATGGATGGATGGATGGATGGAGGGATGGATGGATGGATGATGGAGGGATGGATGGATGGAAGGATGGATGGATGGATGGATGGATGGAGGGATGGATGGATGGATGATGGAGGGATGGATGGATGGAAGGATGGATGGATGGATGGATGGATGGAGGGATGGATGGATGGATGATGGAGGGATGGATGGATGGAAGGATGGATGGATGGATGGATGGATGGATCCAGAGGATGAGCAGGAGGATGGATGGATGGATGATGGATGATGGATGGATGATGGATGGATGGATGGATCCAGGGGATGAGCAGGTCGGGTGCTGTGCTCCTACCTCTCCCACCACCCTGGATGATCTCTGAGAAGCACTGGGTGAGGTTTGCTCCCTGTTGCAGCTTGGACAGTGGGGGAAACGTGACAAAGAAAGGAGCTGGGCCGGGGCTTTTCTTTTCCTTCCCAGTGTATTGGGACACCAGGAAAGGGGGGCTGCCCATGGAGATGACCCCTGTGGAGTTCAGCCACAGGGACCCCGTGTACGGAGCGTGCTGGCTGCCCTCCCGAACAGGCACCGAGTGCTTCTCAGGCTCCACCGACGGGCAGGTGAGGGGCTGCAACAGGAGAGGGGGCCAGGGGCTCCTGAAGAGCTTCCTGTGCCAGCCCTGCCCCTCAGCAGCACAAGATCTCGGTCTCCCAGGCTGGCACGGGGCAGCTGCAGGACTGTCAGCACCTCTGCCTGTGCTGGGAGCAGCCCCCACAGCCCCTGCCACGCCTTGTCCCCACAGGTCCTGTGGTGGGACATCCGCAAGATGTCACAGCCCAGCGAGAGGCTGGTCTTGGACATCACCCGGCAAGATCAGCTGAATCAGGCTCTTGGTGCCATCTCCCTGGACTTTGCACCCATCCTGGTGAGTGTCCCTGTGCCCACCACCCACACCCTGGCCTAGGCAGGAGGGGGAGCCCAGCACAGGGGTTCCAGTCCCTAAACCCTCCCGTGGTGGTGGGTCCCAGGGTTCTGGCTGCAGCAGGATCCCTCGCTGCCCCCCACACCATGGGGTCTCCATCCTGCTGACAGCTGCACTCTCCTGCTCCCACCCCCAGCCCACCAAGTTCCTGGTGGGCACAGAGCAGGGCATCATCATCTCCTGCAACCGCGATGCCAAGACACCACCGGAGAAAATCGCCAACATCTTCAGGAGCCACATCGGGGCTGTCTACAGGGTGACCAGGAACCCCTTCTTCCCCAAAGTCTTCCTGTCAGTTGGTGACTGGACTGCTCGGATCTGGACAGAGGAGCTGATGGATTCATCATCAATTATGGAGACCAAGTAGGTCTCCTTTAGAGGTAGTAGAGGACCTTTAGTCGGCCAGAAATCATCCCCAGGGCAGGTGGCGGTGGGGTCTGGTCAGCTCTGGGCTGGTGACTGAGGCAGGGCAGAGCCAGTGTGGCTGAGGACTGGCTCTGCTGGAAGGTACCACACCTGCTACCTGCTGGACGTGTGCTGGAGCCCTGTGAAGCCGGCCGTGTTCTTCACCGCCAGGTCGGACGGGACCCTGGACATCTGGGACTTCCTCTTCCACCAGAAGGAACCGTCCCTCAGCCTCAGGGTGGGTCCCCAGCACCTCTGCGACCCTCACATCACCCCAGGGCCGAGTGTCACCACCCACCTGTGCCCTGTCCCCAGGTGTCCAATGATCCCCTGCTCAGCCTGTGCTCGCAGGACAACGGGCGCATCATCGCCTTTGGCACCAGGCAGGGCACTGTGTCCCTCCTGGAGATCTCCCCAGGGCTCTGCACCCTCCGGAAGAACGAGAAGACCCTGACCTCTGCAGTATGTTCCACCTGAGCCCCACACTCTGCCTGCAGCCCCGTGCTGTCCCCAAACACGTCACAGGGTCCCCTGTGCCCCACATCTGCCCCCAGATGTTCGAGCGGGAGGCGAGGCGGGAGAAAGTCCTGCAGGACAAGTATCGGGAGCGGCTGCTGCGGGAGCAGGAGCGCCTGCGGGCCGAGCCAGAGGAGCAGGAGGATCCCCAGGAGGTGTTCAAGCAGGCCCAAGCAGATTTCCTCTCAAGCATCAAGGCAGAGCGGCGGAGGAGGGGCCTGGAAGTGCCCGGAGAGGTAACGGGGATGGGACAGCCTGGCCACCATGGCAGGGACCCCAGCTAGGGCAAGGGGACAGGGTGAACCTCTGTCTTTCAGGGTGAAGAGGGGGAGGCAGCTGCACAGGAGGGAAGCCAGGAGGAGTAGAAGGATGCCAAGGTCAGTGTCCTCCAGCTGCACCTTCCTTTCCCCTCCATGCCAGAGCTGCTGCAGGGACGAGGCCACTGTTCCCAGGCCAGGCAGCTCTCCTGGGCTCTCTGCCCTCCTGGGGTGGCAAGTGGGGGACCCTGCACAGCCCCCTGACCCCACAGCTGCTCCCTGGCCTTTGCATCATTATTTTCTTTGGTGTGAATAAACTGGTGCTTTCCATGTCACATTTCTTCTCTTGTCACAGCAGGGTCGAGCAGAGGGTGGGAAAGTCACGTCCCTCCTGCTCCTTCTGTCCTTTCCATGACCCAGGACACTCAAAGCCAGTGCCTGAGCACAGCCAAGCACCCAGGGCAGCACAGGGTGTCCAGGCCATGGAGCAGGGCACAGCAAGGTGGCTGGTGGCAGCAGGGGGCCCCTGTCCCCTCAGGGCCATTTGCACAGGAGAGCCCTGTGTCCCCACAGGAGCAGCCCTGGGCTGGGTTATCAGTGCTGGGTAAACACAGCCCTGCTGGTAGAACCGGCAGCCACCCCAACTCCTCACCCCACTTAATTAATCATTAACGAGCTGCCAGCAGCACTGTCACAGCGATGGGGACATCACACAGGTTGCTCTATGTGGGCTGAGGGCGAGCCCCTGGCAGGACCCTTCCCCAGGCTCTGTCCAGGGGCCATTACCCACCTGTGGGTGAGCAATGCCAGGACAGGGTTCAGGGGCCATTACCCCCCCAAACCCATGCTAAGCAGGGACCCAAATCCCACAGGGAAATGTATCCGTGCCTGCATGGGTTCTCTCCTTCCCAGGAGTTCCATTAGAAGGAGCTGGGCTAGGGAGCAGCATCACCCCAAAGATGCCACACACGTCCCACACTCATTTTCTGCTTTATTAGGAAAGGGGTGGGGGTACCTGGACAGGAATGGGGCAGCTGCCACTGCCAGTGGGGACGGTGCCCCCCACCCCTCCTCCACCGGGGGAGGCTGATGGGCCCCTCACCCCCAGACTGGGCAGCTCTGCTCCTGAGCTGGACCCAGCTGCCCACACAGAGGGACCCCGGGGCTGCCCCACGGGAAGGATGTGCTGTCCCTGTCCCCATCCCCACACCCGCTGGGGTCTGTGATGTGCCCGTGGGCTGCACATTTCACCTCCTGCACCCCCTACATGGGTCTGGGGTACTCCCAGCATCCTCCATCCCCAGGGACAGCGATGGGGACAGGACGTGGTAGGGGATCGCTCAGGGAGGGGTGGGCAGTGCAGAGCTCAGTCCTGGAGCCCCCCAGCGAGGGGACCCCCATCTACCTACGGGACCAAGCGTTCCCCCCATGGTGCTGGCACCAGCATGGCAGGAACAAACTGCGCCTCGTTACTTCTTCACCTTGATGAGGGAGTGGTAGACAGGCTTGATGATGATGTGCAGGTGCAGAGAGTTGTCGATGAGGTACTCGGAGGTGCGTTTCTGCAGGTCGGCGTGCACTAGAAAGTCGGCTGCCTCATCCGAGCTCTGGTGGAAGCTGTAGGCGTGTTTGACCAGCACGCGGCCCTGCTGCCGCACGCCCACCAGCACGGTCTTCTGGAAGCTGACGCCGGCAAAGTCGGGGCTGCTCATGGCCGGGGTGATGACGAGGCGCGGGCGCCCGTCCTCGATGCGCACGGGCTGGATGGCGCCCGCCACCGCGTCCGAGTACACGGGGCGCAGGCTGACGGGCAGCCAGCGCGGCGAGAACAGCACGTTCCAGGTCACCCTCTTGCCGGCGTCGTGGCTGCTGGGCCCCAGCTGGGTCTGGAAGCTGGTGCTGCGGTCGTCCCGCGCCGGGTTGGTGATGACCCACTGGGAGCCCCAGCTGGGCGCGAGGTAGTTGCGGGGCAGGAACATGCTGCAGTTGACGTCAAAGTACTTGGCGAAGTGGAGCGGGGAGGCAGCGTGGAACTGGAAAGCCTGGAAGAGCAGGTCCTGCACCGCGGCGCGGTGCCGCGCCAGCACCGCCGACTGCGCCTGCAGCCGGAACAGCTGGCTGGGCGCGATCATGGGGTAGCGGATGGCGCGCAGCACCCGCTCGGCCACGGGCGCCTCGGGCTGCCGGCGGCTCAGCCAGCCCTCCACGGCGGTGTAGAGCTCCAGCTCGCTGTGCAGCACCAGGTCGGAGCGCTCCAGCAGCAGCAGCAGCAGCTCCACGCTCACCGAGCCCCACTCGGCACTGCCCAGCACCGCGGACAGGTTCCAGGCCAGGAACTGGAGGCAGCTCTCCTGCAGCGCCGCGTCCCCGACGCGCACGGCGTAGTGGTACCAGCCCACAACGTGGCCCTGGCTCGACTCGCTGGCCAGGTGGGTCCTCATGTATTCAGCCACTCCACGCTGCAGCCCCCAGACCCGGTATTTGCTGGCCAGCTGGTGCATGGGGATGGCCTGGTGCAGCAGGATGGAGACCCCCCCACAGTACAGGTACCTGGGGCAGAGCAGGGGGTGGTGTCGTTGGGGACCAAGGGAGAACATTGGAACCCGGCCCAGGGGAACAGCCTCTGCCCTGGGCTGCTTTCCTCTGAGTATTCCCACCCCACGGGGTCCCCAGGGAAGCACCTCCTCTCCTTGGATACTTCGCTCCCATTCCACATGATCTCCACAGTCCCCAGGGGAGCATCCTCCAGCCCTGGCTGCATCCCATGAAGTACAGCATCCACTTTCTTTGGCTGCATCCCTCCAGGTACACCCATCCCACAGGATCTCCATGGTCACCAGGGGAGAATCCTTCTTGGGCTGCATCCCTTCCAAAATGCACATCCCACGAGGTCCCTGTGGCTCCCAAGGGAGCATCCTCCTTCCTTCATTGCATCCCTCTGGGCATCCCCATCCCGTGGAGTTCCCCGTGGAGTTCCCAGGAGAGCTGCACCCTCCTGTCCTCCCCACCCCACGGGGTCCCCACGCACCTGATGAACTTCTCGAAGAGCGCGGCGGTCTCGGGCGGCTCGTACAGGGTCACGGCGCTCTGGTTGCGCAGGAGGCTCTCAAAGACCTCGCTCTGCAGGCTCAGCAGCAGCTGGTGCGTGTGGAACACCTTGGGCTCGTCGGAGGCGGCCGAGCGGACCCGCAGCACCGAGTCGCTGCCGTTGCCGTTCTGCAGCAGCTCCTGCAGCCGCTGCAGCAGCGTCAGCGAGTGGTTGATGGTGGCCGCCGTGGAGTCCCCGCTAAAGTCGGCTTTTTGGGCTGCAGGGAGATGGGATCGTCCCAGAGCTGCACCCCAGTGCCAGGCACTGAGGTGGGGTGGGGTTACTGGGGGGCTGTGCACCTCCTGCCTCCGCTCCCCCGGTGCCAAAGGGCTGCTGGCGCCAAGGGAGTGTGGGGGAACAAAGGACATGGGGACATTTATGTCCCTGAGAGCCAAAAAACTGCCTTTCTGCAGCAGAAGGGCTGAGACCACCATGTCCCAGGCTGGGGTGTGCTGGGAAATGGCCGGGTGCCGGCAGCACTGGCTCTCAGCCCGGCCTGCCTGTCCTGATCCCGTCCCCGCTGTGGGCAGAGGGAGCCCCGGGCATTGCCCTGATCCCTCACATGCCAGATGGATACGTGGGGGGACAGAGAGCCCCTGGGTGCGGGGAGCCAGGCAGCTCTGCCCCACAGCCAGGAATGGGGTCCCGAGCAGCCTGGGGACTCCAGCTGCCCTGGTGTCACTTCAGGTCCTTGCTGGGATCCCAAAAGGGACTGGAGAGGGATCTGGGAATGTGGAACAGGGGTCTCCATGCTCCTGTGGGCACTGGGATCCTTCCTTCCACTCCTCTTCTCCCTCCTGACACCACTCCCACCCGCTCCTCAGAGCATCCTTCCCCCAGGAGGAATTTGGCCCCGTCTGTCTCAAATCCATCTTCCTTCTCAAATCCCGTCTTGCCGACGGATTACCCTTCCCAGGCCGGCTTAAGGCCGGGGGGTGAGGAAGGGGAGCGGGGATGAGGAAGGGGAGCAGGCGCCCTGCACCCCGCGGTGCTGGACTTGTCTGCCCGGCACGGAGCCCTTCCCCGGGCACCCACCAGCCAACACAACCCGGCTCCGAGAGCGCAGCACATCCCGCAGCCGCTTCCATCCCCTCGGGGCACCCCGACGGCGGCCGGAGAGCCGCGCTCAGCTCTCCATCAGCCGCCGAGCCGCACCCCGGCACCCGGCGAGGGCAGCGCTACCCAGGGCTCGGGGGGACCCTCCGCGCTTCCCCCCGCCACGGCCACCCTTACCGGCTTGCACGGTGAAGAGGAGGAGGAGGAAGGCGGCGGCACAGCCCCAGCGGCGGGTGGCCACGGGCCGGGTGCCCGTCAGCCTGGCCATGGCGTCGCAGGCGCATCTGCCGGGTGCGGCGCACGCTGCGCGCCCGGGGCTTATGTAGGCCACGCGCCCTCCCGGCCCGAGCGCCCGCGCCGCCGCATCGATTGGTGGAAACTGGGACCCGTGGTTGCCACGGGAACGGCTTCCAGCCTCCCCGCATCCCACCGTGACCCCCAGCCCCAGCCCCGCACCCCGGGGTGCTGCGGCGCGGGGACTTCGCCGTGTGGCACCTGCTGCTGGCACCGCCGCGCCGGAGCCCCCGCGTGGCCGCGGCCCTTTGTGCCGGGGTCTTTGCATTCAGGGCACAGCTCGGTGGCCTCCCGCTCCCCCCGGCTCATGGGTATTCATGCCGGCAGCAGCCCATCACCATGGCATCCGCGCTGCCGGCAGGAACTGCCTGCCCTTTTCCCAGCCTTTGCAGCCAAGAGGCCGCCCGTGCGCCCTGTGCGGCCTCCCTGGCACCCCGCCCGCCCCGACACCTCTTGGGGGGCTTCACCACGGGGCTGGGGCCCCCCAAAGCCCCAGCGCCACAGGTGCAGGCTGGGGCGGCGCTGGGTGAGCAGGGTACGGGCAGCGGGTGTCAGCCAAGCCGTGCCGACGCCGCTTGGGCTGTGGCCCCGGTGGCACCGTGGGGTGGGGACCCAGGAGCAGGACCCCGGGGGGGGACACATCCCACAGAGGAGGAGCACAGCCCGCAAGGGCACAGCAGCCTCTTACCCACTGCCGAGGAGCCCCATCCCCTGCACAGCGGTTTGTACACGGCCCGGGGGGGGGACACATCCCACAGAGGAGGAGCACAGCCCGCAAGGCACAGCAGCCTCTTACCACTGCCGAGGAGCCCCGTCCCCTGCACAGCGGTTTGTACACGAGCTTAGACACAGCTCCCAGATGTTGAGTGTGGGCAGATGTTGCTGCAGCTGCCGAGGGGGTGGGATCACCATCTGTCCCTAACCCTTGGGCGTGGAGACTCAGGACAAGACACCGATCACCCCACGCCACGCTGCTGGGGCTCCCTGGCCCCTTGCAGGGACGGGCAGGTGGGCCATGCTGGAGCCCTGTGTCCCTGCTGGGCAGGGGACCCCCAAAACCGCGGTGCCAGCAGAGCGCCCGGGCCGGGCCGCTGTCCTTGCACGGTGGGGGCGCGGGGGACAGGACCCCCGCCACGGCACAGCCGGCTCACGGCACAGTGCGTTCTCCGACGCCTCATTTCACCACCGCCTGATAAACAACAGCCCTTGCGAGCGTGTGCCCGGCGTGCCGCCGGCACCGTGCCAGCCCGGGCGGCAGCCACAGCCCCGGGACCCCCGTGCTGCTCATGGGCTGCTCACGGGGGTGAGGTGACCATGGGGGGACAGAAGGGACCGTGGGGCTGGTTCTGGAAGCCGCCAGGGGACAGGGTGAGGTGAGGAGCAGCTGCGCTGGCCCGGAGGTTGCGGCTGAGGGCTGGCTCAACATAGCGACTTGTGCCAGGCAGCAGTGCCAGGGCATCGCCCCGCGGGCTGGGGGGCACTGGAGAGACGGAGCTGGACCCAGGGACCGGCAGGGGACAGCAGGTCCCTCCCTGTGCTGCTGGGGGAAATGAGGCGCGGGCGCGGTGTCCTGGCAGTGGAGCAGCCAGGGCAGAGCCCAGCAGGGACACGCAGGCAGCGCACACGGATTCACGCTCTTGTGCACAGCCACACGTCACACCCTGCGCACACCCGCTCCTCTGGGTCCCCAGAGGTGGCCGCCAAGCCAGCTGCCCCCGGACCACCATCCCTACCGCTCTGGGGCGGGGACGAGCTGTGTCCCTGTCACCCGGAGCTGCCCCGGTGATCCCTTCCCCGGCCTCCGCGGAGCCAAGAGCCGGTGACGCCCCCGTGCCCAACCAGCCCAGCCCGCGGCTCTGCCCGTGGCTCTGCCCACGGCGCTCTCCCTCCGCCCATGTCCCGCGCCCCGGGAGGCTGTGCCATGCTGCGGGTGCCCGCGGGGACGGGGACACTGCCAGGGACACGGACACCAGCGGCACACGGACACTGAAGGGGACAGGGACAGCGGTATGTCCGTGGGAAACACCGAGCCCAGGGAAGGTGGCACTGCACGCCCGGCGGGTGGCATTGGGGCCACCCAGGTGAGGGTCCTTGTCCCGCAGGATTTGGGGAGCGGGAGCAAGGGCAGGGGGAGCAAAGGGGGGCCCAGAGCGAACCCGCCCCCAGCAGCACAAAGGGGATCGGGCTGGGAAAGGGTTAAGGCGCTGGCGGCGCAGCTGCAGCCGATCGATGCCTCAGCTCCGCGGGGGACGTGGATGGACGGGACCTCCTGCTGATGAACCGGAGCTAATTTGCAGTTAATTGGCACCCCTCTGCTCCCCCATCCACCCCTTCTTCTCCCTCGGGATGCGCTCAGGATCTTGCTTGGGTCCCAGGGTCGGGCAGGTGGGACCCCCGGGATCCCACACACAACTCGGGCACTTCTGGGAGAGCAGATCCATCACGGGGGGTCCCCAAAGGGACGAGAGACCTGGCCCCCCCTCCAACCCCGGCCCCGAAGCCATCGAGTGTCTGCGACAAGGGGAATTTGGGGTGTCCCTGGGGCCAGGGTCAGACTGGGAGGAGCGTGGTGCCCCGTTCGCCCTCCCTGAGCTCAGGACTCCTCTTTGCACCCCACACCCAAGACACCCCCCTCCCAAAGAGCACCCCACAACCCCGGGCCCCCCGCACCCCAGAACCCCAGATCCCAGGACCCCCGGCACCCCAGGACCCCCTGCACCCCCAATCCCCTATCCCAGGATCTCCCATCATCCCTGCGCTGGGACCAGGGGTGGCGGTCCCCATGGGATGCAAATTTGGGGGGGGATTCTGACCAATCAGAACGCAGCGCTCAGCTCTGGCCTCACCATTCCCGGGGAACCCCTCTTCGATTGGCTGGGGTCTGTCTCCTCTGAGCCAATAGGAGCGCAGAACTCGGGAGGGGGTGGAGCCGCTCTGGTTTATGAATGGGCGAGGGCAGCGCGGGCACGATCCGGGCGTGGGGAGTGGGCAGAGGGACGGGGCAGGGATAGAGCACAGATAGGGCAGGGATGGGGCGCAGATAAGGATGCGGATCCGGATCAGGATCCGGATGCGGGCAGGGCCGCGGGCAGGGCCGCTGCCTCAGCCTGAGGAGCTGAAAAAGGACCCAGCTGGCAGCCTGGAGATGGCCACCCCACATTTGGCACCACTAGGACCACCCCCATCGGCACTTCTGGGTCCTCTCTGCCACCACTGGGAGCCGCCTGGTGGCACCCAGCCCGGGCTGAGGGCCAGAGACTCCCTCTGCTGGCAGCTGCCCAAGAACATGATGTTTTAATCCGTTTTTCTACAAAAACGGGGCTGATGGATAAAGAAGGAGCGGCTCTAGCAGCGGGAGCTCTGCTGGCACATGGCACAGGGGGCTTGAGGTGCATCGTCTCCCATGGGTGCAGCAGATCCAGGTCTGTCCGCGGTGGCACGTTTGGGAGCTGCCGTCTATCCATGGATGCTACAGGAAAAGGGAGCTGCGATCCAGCCACAGCGGGGACCCCCAGGCGATGGCCCCTGTCCCCAGGCCCCCTGTGCCATGTCACGGCTGACCTCCCCACCAGGTGCCATCAGGACTCTGATGCCCCCGGTGCTCCTGTGTCTCCTCACAGCCGCTCCATGGTGGAAGATGTCACTGCCAGTGCCCAACAGCACGGCGGCGTCATGGGCAGAGCTGGAGCGGTCACCCTGTCTTGTCGGCATCGTGCCCATCGTGTACTACAGCGTCCTGCTGGGGCTGGGGCTGCCAGGTGAGGGGGCTGGGGGGCTGGAAAGAAAACCCCTCAGGATGGAGGGATTTTACCTGATCTCCCCCAACCTCAGAGCTGGCCCCAGTGCCTGGCTGTGCTGCCCGGCCCAGGGCAGGTGCCACCACCACAGGGACAGATGGTATTTGCATTGCTTGGGCTGGCACACAGAAGAGATTAATCAGCCCAGCAAATCCCCAGGGCACCGGGATATTTATAGCTCCCCTCGGCTGCAGCCTGGACAGCTCCAGGGTCTGGGTGCTGGGGGAGGGCTGTGAGCTCCCACCTCTCACCTCCACCCACGGCTCCCCTCCCTGCAGTGAACATCCTGACTGCCGTGGCCCTGTCCCGCCTGGCCACCAGGACCAAGAAGTCGTCATACTGGTACCTGCTAGCCCTTACCACCTCCGACATCCTCACCCAGGTCTTCATCATCTTCGTGGGCTTCATCCTGCAGACGGCCATCCTGGCACGGGCAGTGCCCAGCGCCTTCATCCACACCGTCAACGTGCTGGAGTTCACGGCCAACCACGCATCCACCTGGGTCACCGTGCTGCTGACCGTGGACCGCTACGTGGCCCTGTGCCACCCGCTGCGCTACCGCGCCGTGTCCTACCCGCGGCGCACCCGCAAGATCATCGCGGCCGTCTTCGCCGCGGCGCTGGCCACCGGCATCCCCTTCTACTGGTGGCTGGACATGTGGCGTGACGCCGACCCCCCCACGGCGCTGGACACGGCACTCAAGTGGCTGCACTGCGTCACCATCTACTTCCTGCCCTGCAGCATCTTCCTGGCCACCAACTCCGTCATCATCCGCAAGCTGAAGCGGCGCAGGCGCGCTGGGGGCGGCAAGACCACGGCCCTGCTGCTGGCCGTCACCACCGTCTTCGTGGTGCTCTGGGCTCCCCGGACCGTCGTCACCATGTGCCACCTCTACGTGGCCTCGGTCAGGAGGGACTGGCGCGTGCACCTGGCCCTGGACGTCGCCAACATGGTGGCCATGCTCAACACCTCCCTCAACTTCTTCCTCTACTGCTTCGTCAGCCAGACCTTCCGCCGCACGGTGGGCGAGGTGCTGCGGGGTCACCCCCGGGCAGCCCCCCGCGGTGGCAGAGGGCACTTCCCACCCCCGGCCCTGAAACCGCTGAAGCTGCTGGGCAGCACCGCGCTCTGAGCTGGGGCAGTGCCCGGCTGGCAGCGCTGGTGCTCACCCAGCCCCACGCATTGCACCGGGACCAGGAAGACCCCCACCCTCCACAGAGCCGGGGTCACTGCTGGTGGGGCAGGCAGGAGGAGGTGGTCGTGTCCAGACACTCATTTGGGGATATCAGGGTGCCTGCCTGGCAGCAGCACCCCAGGGTGGGTGCGCAGCTCAGCCCTGCCCATGCTCAGCCCCTGGCGCAACACTGGAACTCACCCAGGGAACTCATCCGGGACACACTCCAGCCCAGTGGCACGGAGGGTCCTGGGGACCCCACCCCTCACCACAGTCCCTGCCCGTGGTGAGGGGTGGAGAGCACGAGTGATCTCCTGCGAGCCCTGACAAGGACGTGGTGCCCGCTGGGTGCCACTCCATAAACTGCTGTGCTGAGACCAAACTCTGCCTGGGTCCGGCTCCCTGTGGGCAGCTGGAACAGAGGCTCCCTACTCCAGCCTCTCTGGCACAGGGTCCCTCTGCCCTGCCCACCCCCGTGCCCCTGCCCCTCTGCCCGGGGCAGCTGGGGGGAGCACCCACAGGGTCTGCTGTCCTCCGTGGTGGGGTCTGGACACATGGTAAGATCACAGATCCCGACCCTCACCCATTAATCCCCCTGGCAGCAGCCAGGCTGCAGCCCCCGGGCAATGCCCCCCTGCATCGAGTGCACCCAGTGCTGCCCTCCCAGTTACACCAGTGCCAAACTGGTGTGACACTGGAGGAGCGGCCGTGCCGTGCCAGCCTGTCCCCAGCTGCCGGCAGAGGGCAGGGATGGGACACTGCGGAGCTGGCACTGACGGGGCAGGGAGCTGGCACCCCCAGCTCCCCAAACCAGCCCTGCCGCCACCCTAATTCCCCTTAAGGTCCTTAACGTAATCCCCCAAAACCGTCCAGCCTTTCCGCTCGGATTCCCGAGAGGGGCAGGACAGACCCAGGGGGTGCCCGGGGGGGATCAGGACCTCAGCTGGCTCCTGGCAGGGCACAGAGACACCCCCAACGCCCCCAGACCCCCTGCCCACCCCGAGCCCTGCTGTACCCGCACTGGGGTGGGATGGGGCGCAGCCTTTGCCCCCAGGGTGTGGGGCTGGCCCCCCCACGGAGCCCTGCCCCGGGTCATTCTCCGGCGTGGACAAACCCCTCCGGGGATGTCACCTCATCCCAAGCCGGATCCCTACCGGGGGACAGGGTTAAAGCCCGACCCGGTGGCGCGGGGGGTACCTGGGAGGTTCTCGCTCCATTAATTCTGGCACGTGAGGAGAGCAGAACAGGGAAAGGATTAGTTATTAACCCGACCGCGGGCAGGGGCTGAGGGGCCGCGGGGCGGAGGGCTCGGCTGCCTCGGGAACCCTCGGCGGGAGCTCCGGGATTGCCACCGGCCCCCCCGATTGCCACCGCCCCCCCCGTGCCAGCCGGTGCGTGTTTACTTGGCAAAGGAGGTGGAAATGTGCTGACGGCGTCCGCCGGAGCGAGGGGCTCCGCTGGGAACGGCTCCGAGCCCCGGCCGGAGCGGCGGGAGGCTCTGGGAGGGCAGCAGGGACCCCCGGCTCCAGGCACGGCTCTCGCCTTCCCGAGGGGAGCCGCCGGGAGACGGGGCTCCGCCAGCCGTGCCACCGTGCCCGCCGTGCCAGCCGCCCGTCCCTGCGGCTCCCGAGGAAAGGTAAGCCTGGAAAAAATGCGTGCTGATGTTTTCGGGTAGAGCCTGGCCGGGGTCCAGGTGCCGGTGCTGAGCGACATCGCAGCCCCCCAGCGTGGCCTCAGCGCTGGAAGGAGCAGTTCTGCCCAGTTGCACCGCTGGCATCGCGGCTCCCAGCCCACCCAGAGCAGCGGCGGCAGGGATCGGGCTCTGCCCGTGCCGGGAGGTCAGGGCCAGGGACCCCGAGAGGAAACCGAGGGTGGCATCACCCCCCGGTGACCCCACAGCCTGTTGGGGTCTTTCTGTAGGACCTACAAAAGCGCCGGGAGCAGGCAATGGGGGCTGGAAACTGGGACAGGGTCCCGATGGGAAGGGGGAGCGGAAAACGCCCACGAGGGGTGGAACACGAGGGTCTCCGTGGGGAGGGGGCCGGAATCACCCGCCGTGGGGGGATGGGGAGGTTCCCATGGGAAGGGGATGAGGAAATCACCCGCCAAGGACAGGACACGAAAGCAAAGGCTGTGCGACCGCGGGGAGCCCCGGCGGGACGGGAGCTGCCGGTGGCCCCACGGGGGGTCACGGGGGTCTCGTGCTGAGTCAGCAGCCGGGAAAGCCTCCGGCGGAAGGAAGCAGCCGGTGGAGAGGCCGGGCTGCGGTGTGGGGGCGGCAGGACAAGCGGCCTCCGCTCCCGGCAGCGCTTATCCAAAGCTGAGCCTTTCCCGGAGAGCGAGGGCTGACCAATCCTGGGGCCAAATCCCCGGGGAAACTGAGGCACGAGGGTTGCTGCAGAGCCCCTCGCCTGCCCTGCTCTGCCCCGTGCGAGGGCAGGGATGATCCAATCCCAAACACCATTCCGGAGCCGAAGGATCCTTAGGAAGAGGGCGGGAAGGTGGCGGTGCCGCAGCTCTGAGCCCGGACACACCGTCCTGTGCCCGGGGGCTCCGGCGGGCGCCGGTCCTTGTGCCACGGGTGCCGCCGGTTCCGGTGGGAGCCGGTCCTGCCGCTGGAGGCTCTGCTGCCCTTTATCCCCGGATTGTTTTCATCCCGGCCTGGATCAGGGCAGGCCCCGCCGGAGGCACACTGAACTTTCCTCTGCATCCTTCACCCTCTTGCTTCACCCTCCCGAAATAGCAGCTCCTGCCTGGAAACCTCTCCCAGGGCTGGCGGGGCCCCGGGGTGCCCCAAATCTCCCAGGGCTTTTCCCCATCCCCAGGGATGAATGGGGTGATTGTGGGGTGCCCATCCCAACTAGAGGGTCGCGGCCACCCCCGTCGGGACAGGGACCACCAAACGCTGCCAGTGCCCCGGGCTGGGGCTGCCCTGGTCCCCGGCCCTCTGCTGAAAGGGGTTTCTGGGGTTTTCTGGGTCCTGCTGCCCTGCCAAGGGCTCCGGCTTTACCCATCAGCTGACATTCCTCCGGGAGGCCCCTCCAGGCCGGAGAATCCTTACAGGGCGGGGCCGCCCGTGGAGCGCCACTCCCGGCTGCCATCCCCGAGCCCACCGGAGCTGGGAGGTCCCGGCTGGGTGACACAGACCCCGCTGCTCCGTCCCTTGTCCCCTGAGGGTCCTTTCTGCTGTGCAGCGCTCAGCAGGGCCAGGCTGAGACCCCCAGACCCATCACACCCATGGCCGGGTGGGCTCAGCCCTGCTTCACCCCCAGCCCAGGCTCTGCCCCACTCAGCCCCGTCCGGGCCCCGGGGCAGCCCACCCCCCTCCGTCCCTTGTCCCCTGAGAGTCGTTCCCGAGGAGCAGCGCTCGGCAGAGCCAGGCTGAGCCCCCCAGGCTGGTCGCACCGATGGCTGAGCCCCCCAGACTCATCACACCGATGACCAGGTGGGCTCCTCCCCGTCCCGTCCCCCCAGTGTGAACTGTTCCCGCCGCAGCCCCCTCCGTGCCCCGCTGCGGGACCGCGGTGTCCCCGCCCGGTGCGGCGGGGCAGGTCCCGGCCGGCCCCAATCGCGCTCCCGGGGCCGAGCCGCACCTCGGGGAGGGGCCGGGCCGGGCCGGGCAGGCGCACGGTGCGGCGGCACCGGGGCTGGCTCGGCTCGGCACGGGGGGAGCGGAGCGCCGGGCACCGGGGGCTGCGGCCGGTGAGCGGGGCGGGGTGGGCGGCGAGCCCGGCGGGACTGGGGGGCACCGGCAGCGCCGACGGGAAGAGACCGGGACCGGGACCGAGAGCCGTCCGCCCCCGCAGCTCCTCCGGCCGGAGATTTGGGGGCGGCTCCGGCGGAGTTTCGGGGCCAGGACCTGGCGGGAGCACCGGGAAACACCGGGACGGTGCGGGAGGACCGGGCGGGGGGGGACCGGCGGAGGGGCAGGGGAAGCGGGACGGGAGTGCGGCGGCACCGGGCCGGGGGAGAGGGGGAAGCCAACGGGAGATGCGAGGGACCAGGCGGGGTTGCAGCAGGAGCAGAACTGGGGACGCGGGTGCAGCCGCCGGGGGCGCGGGGGAAACCGGGCGGAGGGTGCGGGGGTACCGGGCTGGGGGACGCGGTGGGAACCGGAGGCGGCGGAGCTCCTGGAACCCGCGGGCACAGGGACTCCGTCCCGGCGTGGTGTTGGGGGTCCCTGTCCCCGTCCCGGGCCTGGGGGTGCCCGGTTCGGGATACCCCTCGGGGGACCGGGGGTCCCGGCCCCGGCATGTCCTTGCTGGGGTCTCCTCCCGGTTTCCTCCCCCAGAAGTGAAGCTGCGGCTTCCTCGCTGCCTCCTCTTCCCCGCGCCCACCATGAGGTGGCAGGAATGGGGTGGCAACGGTGGGGACAGGGACTGGGACCCCGTGTCGTGCCGTGCCGTGCCGTGCCGTGCCGTGCCGTGCCGTGCCAGGCTGCGGCTGCCTACGTGCCAGCGGGCTGGACATGCGACCTGCACTGGGCCGGTGCCCAAAGCCAGAGGGAAGTGGGACAGAAGTGGAAAGAGGAACGTGGTGCACGCAGGGACAAGGCAAGGGGACAGCGCTGTCCCCCAGTATCTCCTCTGCCATCTGGTGTGGGCCTGCATTTGGGGTTCCTGGGAAGCATCAGGCACGGTGCTGCTCCTGACACTGGAGGAAGGGATCAGGAGAATTCCCAGAGAATTCCCATGCTGGGAGGGATCATATGGGGCACAGGGGGGCTGAGTGCCTCCTCAGCTGCCACCAGCCTCCAGCCAAGGAGCCAGTGCGACTGCCTGGTCCCATCTGGAGCTCCGTGGCCGTGTTGGCTGAGCTCAGCTGTGCCAGCAGGGCAGAGCTCCCCAGGACCCCACTGCTCACCATGGGGTGATGCCCAGTGGGGACCATGGGCTGGGATGCTCTGAGCTGGGAGCTGATCCCCGTCCCCAGCCACTGTGCCCTGACCCTGCTGTGTCCTGCAGGGTCCCTGGATGCCACGGTGCAGGATGGGCACCACGGCCGTGCTGCTGGCCCTGCTCCCCACAGCCTCTGCACAGCCCACGCCGCCCCCAGGCTGTGGCCATGACCTTTCCTCCCTCTACTACAACCTCTGTGACCTCTCGGCGGGCTGGGGCATCGGGGTGGAAGCAGTGGCCAGCCTCGGCGTGGTGACCACCTTTGTGCTCACCATTGTCCTGGTGGCCAGCCTGCCCTTCGTGCAGGACCGCCGGAAGAAGAGCCTGGTGGCCACACAGGTCTTCTTCCTTCTGGGCACCTTCGGGCTCTTCTGCCTGACCTTCGACTTCATCGTGGGGCCGGATTTCTCCACCTGCACCTCCCGCCGCTTCCTCTTCGGCGTCCTCTTTGCCATCTGCTTCTCCTGCCTGCTGGCCCACGCCGTGGCCCTCAACTTCCTGGCGCGGCGCAACCGGGCCCCGCGGGGCTGGGTGACGCTGGCGGTGGCCCTGTCCCTCGCCTCGGTCGAGGCCATCATCAACACCGAGTGGCTCGTCATCACGGTGGCGCGGCGCGAGGGCGGCCCCGCGGACCCCTGCCAGCTGGCGGACGCTGACTTCGTCATGGCCCTCATCTACGTCATGGCCCTGCTGGCGGCCGCCTTCGGCGCGGCCTGGCCCACCCTGTGCGGCCGCTACGGCCGCTGGCGCAAGCACGGCGCCTTCATCCTGGCCACCACCGGCCTCTCTGTGGCCATCTGGCTGGCGTGGAGCGTCATGTACCTGTACGGGAACCAGCGTGCCGGCCACAAGCCCGGCTGGGATGACCCCACGCTGGCCATTGCGCTGGTCTGTAACGCCAGCGCCTTCCTGCTGCTCTACGCCATCCCCGAGGTGACGCACGTGACGCGGCGCAGCCCCGAGCAGGCCTTTGAGGACGACGGCTACCCCACACGGGGGGTGGGCTACGAGACCATCCTCAAGGAGCAGAAGTCGCAGAGCATGTTCGTGGAGAACAAGGCCTTCTCCATGGATGAGCCATCCTTTGGTAGGTGCCAGGGCTCGCCAGGGACCTCCTCACCCCATGGCAGTGTGGGCACCATCCTCCTGGGGACGCTGGGGATGTCCCCACCGGGGATGGCAGCGGTGGGTGGGTGACGAGACGTCTGGCAGTGACCTGCCCGACGCCTGCTGCTGTTGTGGCTCTGAGAACTGGCCGGGCTGGGTGTACCAGTTTGGGCTGAGCCCAGCAGCCACAGGGAGCTCCCTCCCCAGCGTGGGGTGCCCGCGGCTCCTGCCCCTCCGCCCCAGGCCCACGAGCCCCTGCAATAACACTGGGTGGTGACAGTCCCAGTGGGGATCATGGGCGGGCACACGAGGTGTCTGCTCCCCATGGGGGAGGGAGGGTCCCAGCCCGCGGCTCCTGCCCCTCCGCCCCAGGCCCACGAGCCCCTGCAATAACACTGGGTGGTGACAGTCCCAGTGGGGATCATGGGCGGGCACACCAGGTGTCTGCTCCCCATTGGGGAGGGAGGGTCCCCCTGAGCAGCACCTGCACCCGAGAGACCCTACAATAACAAGCCACAGCTAGGCAGCAGCGATGCCACCCCTGGGGACAGGAGTGTCCCGCGGGAATGGCACGCAGCTGCTCAGTCAGCTCGTTAAACCTGCTAACGAGGTACAGGGAGCCCCAGTGGGCTGGCACTGGCTCCATGGTGACTGTCCCCGTGTCTCGGCAGCCAAGAAGCCGGTGTCCCCATACAGTGGCTACAACGGGCAGCTGCTGACCAGCGTCTACCAGCCCACCGAGATGGCTCTGATGCACAAGGGGATGGTGAGTGTGACACCAGGGTGTGGGGGACAGGGTGTGGGTGGGGTGTTCCTGTGACCCCTGCGTCCCAATGGCTCCTCTAACGGGGTCGGGACCTTCCAAGCCTTCCACCCCCGGGGAACCCGTGGGGCTGGGGCGCTCCCGGTGCTGTGACCTCCCACCCCCCGTCTGTCCCTCAGAGCGAAGGTCCCTATGACGTGATCCTGCCCCGCGCCTCCACCAGCCCCATGCCCGGCAGCGCCAGCTCCACGCTCCGAGCCGAGGACGCCTTCGCGGCGCAGGCCCGGCACTCCAGCATCCCGAGGGACACCCGGAGCTGCCAGGTGGGTGAACGGTGGCTGCAGCGGGGGCAAAGTCCGGCCCTGCCGTGGTGACGGCGCTGCCCGGCACCCAGACCCCTCCCGGTGGGTCAGGGTACACGTCCGCGGTGCTGGTGCCACCGCGGTGCCACCCCGCTGTGCCCACAGGTGCAGTCCCCGTACAGCAGGAACCGGTGGTGAAGCCCCCGAGGCACAGCTCCCGCAGCGCCGGCACCGCCGCGGCCCCTCCGTCCCACTGCCAGGGCTCGCCGAGCCTCGTCCCTCCCTGACTGAGTGTGAATGCCACCCTGGCTGGCAGCCAGAGCTGCTTCCTGCCCCTGGGACGCCTGCACACGGTCCCAGAGCCAGCGCTCCCACCTGCCCGTCCCACCTGGCCACGGAGCCCCTCATCCCTGCCTCAAGGACTGGCTCCCGTGAGGACACCCCCGTCTGTCGCCTCTGCCCTCGTGATGCACAGACCTCCCACCTCCCCCAGGCCATGGACCCTCCAGAGCTGGGGAGCCCGTGGGACCCCACCCAGGGCACCCCCAGCACCGAGCCCCTGGCCCCGCACTGACCCCCCCAGCCCTGGGGACCCCGAGCTGAGCTGGCCCCATCGCACCGCAGGGCACAAGGGGACACCAAGCTGTCCCCAGCTCTGCCTCCTCTTGTGCCTCTGTTTCTCCGTTGCTGGGGGAGGGGGATCAGTGCCTTGCTGGGGCTGGGGACCGGCCCCCCACAGCTCTGGCCGCCTTCTCGGTGCCTTTCCCCGCCTCGGGGCTCCCCCTGCACGGAGTGGGGAGGGAGCTGGGCCCCTCGCCCTCCTTGCGGCTTTGTCAAGTTTCCTTTTCATTTTTTTCAGGTCGCCCCAATAAAGGTGGTTTTTCCTATGATGATGTCACAGGTGGCCTGTGATGGGGGTCCCAGGTGTTCCCCACCCCACGGGCTCAGCCCCATGCCCCCATCCAGGGGAGGGACAGGGAGCACGGGGGGGCTCCGGGCAGGCTCCTCGGCACCCCCATCCCCCAGCCGGGGCCGCTGGGCCGGGATCCCGTGGGCAGATGGGCTGCCGGGCAGGAGGTGGCACGGCACGGAGGACGTGCCAAGGTCGTGGTGGTTTTCCCGCTCGGATTGCCTTCCCCTCCAGAGCCATTCCTCCTCCTCCGGGCAGGAAGCCTGCGGCCAGCAGTGCCATGAATTATTCAGGGCTGGAGCGGCTCGGTGGGGGCAGCGGGTGACCGGGTCTCCTTGAGCCGGAGCCGGGATGGCGGCGCTGGGGTGGGCACGCGTGCCCTGCACGGTGTCCGCACAAGGGACACACAGCGCCAGGGTGGCACTCGCCACGTCCCGGCTGTGCCTTTAGCTGGCACAAACCCACGCTCCCGGCTCCGGGGACACGGCCGCGAGAGAGAGCCGGGTGTTGGCAGCGGGATGTGGCCGTGCCCCCCGGGCTGTGCTGCGTCAGCCGTGTTTACCTGTCACCTGTGTTTACCCGGTGCCGAGCGGCAGCGGGGACATTGCCCAGCAGCACCAGGCACTCGGTGTCACCAGGGCCACTGTCACCACAGCACACCCTCCCTCCTACCGCCCGCGGGCACCGCATGGCACAGCGCGTCACCCCCCAAAGGCACCTCCACCTTCCCGGGGACACAGCGGTGACACCTTGGGGAAGGCAAAGCCACCCGACAAACAAGGCGCTCAGGGGTGGCAGGGGACAGCGGAGGGGCCCCGCGGCCGTGCCCAGCCCCTCCGGAAGCGCGGGATCCCACCGGCCCCGCCAGCGCCGGCCGCAGCGCGGGGCGGCCCCGCTCCAACAGGGAACGCTTTGTGCCGGCGGGGCCGCGGAACAGCGGAGCCTTTGTCCGGCCAGGTGAGGCAGACACGGCTGCGCCGCGCCGGGAGCAGCCCCGGAGCCTCCCCGGAGCCGGGGGCTGCCCGGGGGTGGTCGCAGGGCAGGTGGCACCGGGGTGGCGCGGGCGCAGCGGTGGGGACGTGGCAGCACACCTGGCACCGGGGTCACCATGACCGGGGACAGGCAGGGACACGGACAGGGATGCCAAGGGCAGGGCTGTGTGTGGCTGCAGCCCTGGGGCTCAAGCGGGGTCACCAATAGTGACAATAAAGGCAAGTGGCACAGTCCATGTCCCCAGCACCGCCTCACTTTCCTCCCAGCGGGTGCTGAGTTGGCAGGCACTGGGGTCTCCTCACGGCTGAGGAACGAGGCTCCTGCCCCCACCAGAGCCCTGGCAGGGCCAGCCCACGGTGACAGTGACATGCCTGGGACTGCCATCTGCCAGCACAGCAGTGTCCCTCAGGACCCCTCAGGGACGGGGAGCACAGACACGCTCACACCCCCGGCTCCACCAGCACCTTTTACTCCAAACAAGTCCACAGGGACCCACGCCGGTGCTGAGCTGTGCAGCGTGGAGCTGTGGCAAGTCCCGGGGCTCAGCAGTGACACAGAGCATCAGGACAATGTCCCTCTGGAGTCGCAGGGGCTCAGCCCGGGCCGGCCCGGGCGCGCTCCCGCTCCAGCTGTTTGCGCCGCTGGATGTCGCGGTAGGCGCGGATGACGCGCGCCCGCTCCTCCTCCAGGATGCGCCGGCGAGCCATCGACACCGCCGGGGACACGGGGGACACGGGGGACACGGGGGACGCCTGGCTCTGGCCCAGGCGAGGCGTCAGGAGGAGCTGCTTCCGTCCAGCCTGCAGGCAGAGATGGCACAGCTCAGCGCTGAAGGATGACACACGGGACTGCGCTCCAAGGAGCTGGCACCGGCTCACTGAGGCCACCGCTGCCCTCCCAGGTACCGAGGGGTGGGTGGCACTGTCCCCAGAGCTCACCTGCTCGGCAGAACCCTGTCCCCTGGGCCGTGAGGTGATGGTGGGTGGCTGTGTCACCACCTCTCCAAAGGGCACCGTGTCTGCAAGAGAACGGGGTCAGTGGGAGACCCTCGGGGTGCCCAGCTCCCCCCACGTGCTGCCCCTCGGGGCTGGGGTCACTGCAGCCCCCCCCCCCCCCCACTCCATCCTCACCTTGCAACAGGCTCTTCTCCAGCATGGCCTCCTTCTTCTCCTCCTTTTTCTTCCGAGCTTTTTCCAGCTTCCTTTTCTGAAACCTGAAGAGCCACATTATGGCTCAGGGGTGGGTAGGGAGCAAGCAATGAATCCCCACCCCACGGGAGCCCCCCAAACCCCACAGCTTTTCCCCCAGAAGGGTGAAGCAGGCTTGTGGCTCTGTTCCCAGAGATCCATCCCCATGGAAAGGGCGCCCACCGCCCCCCAGCTGCACCCCCCCGACCTGCCCTGCAGAACTGGGCAAGGGGACATGCCACAGGCATGGGCTGGCCCCATCTGGCTCACACGGCCTTGCTCTCACTCTTTTTTCCTTTTGGACTTCTCTGGAGCCGTCGCCTCCTTCTCAGGCTCCCGCTGGAGCTGGTTCTCTGTGAGGAAGAGGACGCGCTGCACCTCCTGCTCCATGCGGCAGATGTAGGAACGCTCCGACTCGCCCCTGCCCCTCCGGAACCTGGGCACGGGAACGTCCCCCGCGGCCTCGGGGCCCTTGCACTTCTGCTTCTGCTTCTTCTCTAGGAGAGACGGGTGACATTTCTGCAGGGGTGACACCACGGGAGCCCCTCGGGCCGGCACAGCGCGGTGGGACATCACCGGAGGGAGGAGGATGTCCCACGGCAGCATCCAGCCATGCTGTAGGCTCCTGGGCCACCTGCTCGGGCCACCTGCGTGTCCCACCTGTCCCCTGCCCCTTGCCAGGGCCCGGGCGCTTCAGGGCCTCGCGGCTCCGCATGAGCTCCCGCAGGCGGAACGGGATCTCCTGCTCCTCGGGATGTTTGGGCTTCATGTTGTCCTTCTTCTCCTTCCTGGTGAAAACGAGCGCAGTCAGAGGGCTCCAGGGAAGCACCGGCACCTGGAGGCTGGGACCCCGGGACCCAGGCACCGGGATCCCTGTACGGAAGGATGCTGGGATTTGAGCACGGTGGAAAGCTCAGACTCAGGCACGGCTGGGCACCGGGACGGAGGCATGGGGAGCCATCAGGGTCAGCACGGGCAGACATCGGGACCCGGGCACGGTAGAGATCAGGACGCAGACGCCGAGAACGGGACCCGGCGTGGGTCCAGCCCCCAAACCGGGAGCGATCCCGACTGCATCCCGCGGGCACTGACCTGCTGCGGAGCGGCACGGCCGATCCATGTTCCGATCTCGGTGCCGCTTTCTGTGCCGGTCCCGCTTTCCGTCCCTGTCCTGGTCCCGGTCCCGCTTTCTGTCCCTTTCCTGATCCCGGTCCCGGTCCCCGGCCCTGTTTCGGTCCCGATCCCCGTCTCTGTCCCTGTTTCGGTCCCGATCCCAGTTTTTGTCGCGGTCCCCGGGCCGGTTTCTGTCCCCGGGCCGGTCCCGGTCCCCGGGCCATGGCTTCGCCACTCCTCACGTGCCCGTTCCGCCGCCACTTCCGGCTTTCTGGCCCCGCCTCTTGGTGCTTATTGGTCCCACCTTCCCCTCCGCTCCCGCCCTGCTGAGCGCACCGGGCTACCATTGGCTGAGAGAGCTGTCACTCGGGGAGAGGGGCGGGGCCAAGGCTCGGAGAGGCCAAGAGGTGCTGGGCATGACATGTGAGCGAGGACGGGGGGACATGGGGGGTGCTGGGGCGTCATAGCGGGTGCTGAGGGTGACGGGGGACAAGGAGGGGGATGTGAGGAGATGTAGGGATAAGGGGGGCTTGGGAGATGTGAGGGAGATGTGGGGACAAGGGGGACTTGGGGGAGATGAGGGGACAAGGAGGGGATGGGGATTGAGGGGAGTGGGGGGAACAAGGAGGGGATGGGCATGGGACTGAGGGGGGTGCAGGGAATGGGGTGTGGGGCAGGAATTGGGGTGTTGGGAGGTGGGTATGGAGGGGCTGGGGATGGCAATGGGGGTGCACTGGGGGCAGGGAATGGGGTGTGGGGCAGGAATTGGGGTGTTGGGAGGGGGGTATGGAGGGGCTGGGGGTGGCAGTGGGGGTGCACTGGGGGCAGGGGGTTCCTGTGGCTGAGCTGGGGGTGCAGCAGCCCTGCCGTACCCCCCCAGACTGGCACCAGCACGGGGGTCTCGGTTCCCTGCAGCCCCCCAACAGCCCCAGGGGGACCCCACGCCCCCCCACCACCACCTCCTGCAGCCCCCGGGAGCGTTCCGACACCGCCACAGGGGCTGGGGGCACCTCGGACACCCCGGGAAGGGACAGCGGGACAGCCACCCCCAATGGCGACAGGGGGGACCCCCCTGCAGCCCCCCCGATGCCCCCCCCGCCCACCCACTGCTGCGGGACCGGCTGCCCCAACTGTGTCTGGGTGGGATACGTGGAGGAGCTGCTGGAGCGGCACCGGGACGGCGGAGCCCAGGCCTTGGCGGCCGTGGAGCAGCACGTGGAGGACGAGAACATCAAAATGATCCTCAGGATGGAGATCAGGCTGCGTGCCAGGAAGGACTGAGCCTCCCACGGGCTCCCCAGATGGGTGGGGGATGCCCCGGGGGGGACAGGATCCGGGCCTGGGTGGTTGGGAGTGTTTGTTGTGCGCTGAGCGCGGCACCCCGGGAGTGTCACGCGAGGTTGGGTCACCTCCTGTCTCAGAGGGAGCTGTCCTTGGGGACAGGTGGTGGCTCAGGGCTGTCCTGAGCCCTGGATTTCCCGGGAGCTGGATGCTGTGCCCTCCCCAACATGGCAAATCCCTGCCAAGGGCAGCCTGAGCAGCCCCCCAGCCCTCCTCCTCCTCCTCCTGTGCTCCCAGCTGGAATTTAAGCACCTTGGGGGGATTTTCAGCACCTTGGCCATGCCCTGGTGATGGGGGGGCCAGACCCCTCCCCACTGGCACCACAAAGCCTCTTAGGAGCCTCTCTGGGGGCTCGGGGGCAGCGTGTGGCACCAGGCACGTGGGAAGCAGCAGCCTCCTGTCAAGGACATGGTCCCTGGTGTCACATCCAGGCTGCTCATCCAGGCTGCTCACCAAGCTGCCTTTTCTGCCTCCGTCTTGAATCCCCAGACACTTGTCCCAAACTTGGCCCTTCATCCTGGGGGACTCGCAGCTGTTGAGACCCACCCAGACCCCCCCATGTCATCCCAGGACAAGGTCCCCAAGATGCCACCCAGCCCTGGAGTGCCACGCACTAATGAACCCCAATTAACAGCCAGGCTTTGCTCTCTGCCAGGGAAGTAGGTGCTTTTCCATGGAAAACACTCCTGCATCCCTTTAATCCTATTTGTTGGAGCCCAACTAATTGCAATTAGTGACAGGGGCTGAAGTTCAATTAAAGTGTGCCGAGATTAGTCCGTTTTTAATTGCTTTAGTGCTAGATTAGGGAAGCTTTGGAGCAACACGAGCCATGGGCAGGGGCTGCTGGACCCTCTCTGGAACCAGGACCCCCACCAGGCTGGGCTGGAGACTGGAATGGGGGTCCCATCGCTCCCTGTGGGATCAGGGGACACTGGAGGAGTCTCTTTGGGAATGGGATCCCCCTGGGGGGAGGCAGGATTCCCCCACGTGGGATCCACTGCCCACTGGCACGGGCAGGGCTAATCCTGACACCTCCTCCCCCCCAGAGAGGGGAAGGACACTGGATTACCCCTGGGGGAAGCAGGGAGGTAAATAATCCTATTACCCCCGGGCAGGATAAATCTCCCTCCAGAAAAGCCCCCCAGAGCATCTCCAGGCCGGAGGGAGCCGGCTGGGCAGAGGGAGCAGCTCTGGAGCCGGGAATCGCGGCACTCTGTGAGTCAGGGGAGGGGACGCGGGGTTGTTTGCTGCTCTTCCTGCATCCAGGGACATCGAGGAACATCTCCCTGCCTTGGTGTTCCCAGAGCTGTGTTCAGCTCTGCAGCAGGGCCAAATCCCTGACAGGATCCCAGAGCGGGGCTTGTGCCGCAGAATTCCCGCTCCTGGTGCCATGGGCCATCCCCTGCTCCCCCTTCCCAGCCTGGGGTACCCACCGCCCCCACACAGACCTGGGCACGCCATGGAGGGTCCTGGCAGTGCCCTGAGGGGTCCCCGGGTGTCACACCCACACTGGGGTGGGGGACGGGGAGGAGGAGTGGCAGCAGCCCTGGTGGCCCTCGGGGTGCCCTTCCTGCCTTTGGGGGTTAACGCTGAGCTGGGCTGAGCCAGCCTTGTGGGGAGGGGGCTCTGCAAAGCCCAGCAGGGCGGGGGGGGAGGAGAAGCTGGTGGTTCCATTTCCCTCCAGCGGGTGTGAGGAGCTGTCCTGTGCCAGCGCTGAGCCCCGGGGAGCACCGTGAGCCCCGGGGAACGCCGTGAGACCCTGGGAACACTGTGAGCCCCGGGGAACGCCGTGAGCCCCAGGGAGTGCCGTGAGACCCTGGGAACACCGTGAGCCCCAGGGAGTGCCGTGAGACCCTGGGAACACCATGAGCTCCAGGGAACGCCGTGACCCCCAGGGCTGCTGGTCCCCCACAGCCATGAGCCTGGAGCCCCCCAAGCTGGAGGTCAAATCGGCCACGAGGGTGAGCGGGGGTCCTGCCACCCCCCGCAAGGGACCGCCCAAGTTCAAGCAGAGGCAGACGAGGCAGTTCAAGAGCAAACCCCCCAAAAAGGGGGTGCAGGGGTGAGTGGGGAAGGGCCCTGGGATGGGGTGGGGGGGCCTGTACGGGGATAGGCCAGACAATTCCTCTTTCCTTGCAGGTTTGGTGACGACATCCCAGGCATGGAGGGGTTGGGAACAGGTATGGGAATGCCACCCCTTTGGCAGTGGGGGGGTAGGGTCTGGGGGGGGTCACACTGCAACAAGCTCTGTCCTCTCTCTCCTCAGACATCACTGTCATCTGTCCCTGGGAAGCCTTCAGCCACCTGGAGCTGCACGAGCTAGCTCAGTACGGAATCATTTAGGATTTGGGCAGCCTCACCAGCCCTGTAGTGCTGTGTAGGTCGAGGCCCCCCCACCCATGCTGGGGAGGGGGGAGCTCAGCTTGGAAAAATGCTCATTAAACCCTAACGAGCACAGGAGTCAGTGTTGTGAGCTGGGGAGGAGGGAAAGCAGCTCCTCAGGGCCTGGGGTGGGATGGGCAGGACACAGATGGGTTCAGGATTCTGACAAGGTTTATTTGGGGCTGGACCAGCACCCCAGACATCCCCAAAGCTGCAACGTCCCTGCACACCCTCAGCAGCAGCACCAGTGGCGATGGCAGCACACACAAGACCCAGACACGTTCAGGATTTTTGACAAGATTTATTTAGCACCAAGCCACCCCCTGCATATCGCGATCCCCATGCTGCCCTCACAGCTGCGCTATCCCCGAGCACCCTCAGAGCCAGGAGCACTCCCACTGCCTCCAGCAGCAGCAGGACACCGGCCCCGGCCTGGCCCCAGCGCTCAAGACCCTGGGGTGGGATGGGCAGGACACAGATGGGTTCAGAACGCTGACAAGATTTGGGGCTGGACCAGCACCCCAGCCATCCCCAAAGTCCCTGCGCACCCTCAGCAGCGGCGCTGACGGCAGCACAGACCAGACCCACAGACGGGTTCAGAACATCCGACAAGGTTTATTTAGCACCAAACCAGGCAATCCCCATATCCCTCACGGCCGGATATCCCCGAGCACCCTGAGAGCCAGGAGCGCTCCCAGGGCCTCCAGCAGCAGCAGGGCGCCGGCCCCGGCGGCGATGGCCCCGGCCTGGCCCCGCAGCCACGCGGCCAGCGCGGCCCCGCAGCCCCCCGCGTGCAGCACGGCCCCGGCCGCCGCCGGGCCCAGCGCCAGCGCCCCGAACCCGCACTGGGCGTTGGGCACCGAGCCCTTCTGCAGCGGCTCCTGGCAGCAGGAGGCCGGCACGCCGCACGCCTGCACGCCCGGGGCGCTGCAGTTGAAGTACCTGTGGGATGGACACGGAGATGTGGGGTCACGCACGTTCGGGGTGCGGGACGGGGTGTGCCACCCCCAACCACAGAACTGGGCACCAAGTATGGGTTCCAGCTCATCCCTCTGCTTTATGGGCCGTTCTGGGGATCCCACCACCCCGAACATGAGTGCCTAGCACAGACCCCAAAAGGAACGGGGGGAGTCCAGCCCTGGGGTGGGGATGGGGTCCCACAAAGGAGGTTTTCAGCCTTGTGGTGAGAATGGGGTTCCACACCCAACACGGTTTTCAACCCCAGCATAGGTATGGAGTCCCACAAAGGAGGTTTTCAGCCCCAAGATGAGCATGGCCTTCCCCACTCACCCCCAGCCCCGACTCACGGGTTGCTCTCCCAGTCGCGGTAGGACTCGAGGCCGCAGCACTGGAGGCTCCTCTGCACCTCATCCAGCAGGAACTGCAGGTCGGGGTCCTCCTGGTAGCGCAGGAGGCAGAGCAGCAGCAGGTCCCGCAGCGCGTCCCGCAGCCGCCGCCGCAGCAGCAGCAGCAGGAGCCCCCCCAGCAGCTCCAGCCCCCCGAAAGCCAGCACGGCACCCAGGAAGAAGCGCAGCAGGCAGGGGCTGGCTCGCAGGGCGCCCAGGCAGCCAGCCAGGGACACGCTGCTGGCCCCCAGCCCCGCCAGCACGAAGAGCAGCATGGGGTCCGAGCCCAGGGGCGCCCCACGCTCCCCCCCGGGCAGGGGGCTCTTGGTCAGCAGCCCCCAGACCCCCACAGCAAGGGTCAGCAGCCCCAGCAGGAGGAAGAGGAGGTTCCAGAGGATGGCCAGGTAGCGCACGCAGCGGCTGAAGGGGCTCAGTTTGGGGGGGTCGGGGTACCACACCCCGGGGTCCTGCTCAACGGTGTCATCACCATCATCATCATCATCAAAGGAGGAGTAGGGCAGCTCCACCAGCCTGGATGCCTGCACAGACAGAGGAGCCACTCACAGCCCCCAGGAATGTTCTTCCAGCCCACAGCCAGTCACTGCCACGGGCTCCTGGAGCCACCCTACACAGCCTTGCTTAGCCCCAACCCCCCCCTGCTCATCACGGGGCTCTGCAGGGGAGCACCCCAAAGACTCTGACCCTAAGGGACCCCCAGACCCGTCCCTATGGAGACCCCCGGGGATGCAGCACGCTGCTACCCAGGGGTCGGGGGACGCGGGGTGCTCGGGTAAGGGGTCCCGGCATTACCTGGGGCAGCAGCCGGGTGCCCTCCCCGCGGGGCTGGAACAGGCGGACTCTGCTCAGCGCCATCGCCGTTACCTCGTGCCCGGACCCGTCACACTCCCATCATGTGAGGGGCTGCGGGCGGGCTTAAATGGGGCTGCGTGTGCCGCCCCACAGCTGGGCACCATCCTTCTACCCTCCCACGGCCACAGCTGGCCCCGATCGCCCCCTGCTCCACAGCTGGGCCCGATCCCTTTGGCAGTCACCGCGGGGCCCCTCCGGGGCCCCTCCGAGGCCCCCCGGGGGCGCTGGGTGCGTGCGGAACTGAAGAGCGAGCCGGCGGAGGGAGGGGACGCTTTTATCTGTAACACCGAGGCAGCATGAGGGATCATTATGGCGGTGACACCGAGGCAGCACGGGGGGACGACTGGTGGTGACGCCGGGGTAGGAACCTTGGTGCGGCGGAACGCGGGCGCGGGGCGCGGGGCCGGGGGGGCGGGCGCGAGGGCGGGCCGGTCCCGGGAGGCGGCGGGCCGGGCCGGGCCGGGAGGAGCCGGGCCGGGCCGGGCCGGGCAGGGCCGGGAGAAGCGGAGCGGGACGGGCCGCACCGGGCCGTGTTTGTGCGGCGCGGCGAGCCCCGGGCCCGCGGGCAGCGCCATGGCCGAGACGATTGTGAGTGCGGCCGGGGGAGGGGCGATGAGGCAGCAGATTCCTGTGGGGCCGGGACGGGGCTCCGGGACGGGGGGGCCGGCGGTGTGCGGGCCGGGCAGCTCCCCGAGGCTTTCCCCGCGGGGTCGCTCAGCCGCGGGCGGGGGCTCGGGGCGGGGGGCCCGGGGGCTCCCCGCTCCGGTGAACGGCTCCCGGCGCCGTCCCGGCGGGCTGTGCCCGGGAGGGAAGTCGGGAGAGTGGGAAGGGGTGACGGCGGGACACGGGCAGCTCGCCGTGTGCCCTCGTTGCCCGTGTCCCCTCCCCGCTCTCGCTGTCCCCGTGTCACACAGCTGCGGTTGAGCGTCCCCTTCAGACCCGCTCGAGTCCCCGCTGCCCCTCACGCTCCGGGGACACCGAGGTTTGCATTTGTCCGTGCCCTGCTTGTCCCCGAGGATTCCTCTCCCCGTTCCCCCCGAGCAGGAGCCCGGTTTCCCGGGCGCCGCTGGAGTCTCTCCCCTCCCTCGTTCCCGGGGCTGTGCCACAGCAGTGCAGTGCCCGGTAACACCGGCTGGGCCGGTGCCTGTGTGAATGACTCCCCTTGGAAGGTCTGGTGCGCCCTCCCGAAGGTGTAATTCCATCTCCGAGGTCAGAGCTTTGGCCAAAGGTGTTTTCCTTGGAGCCAGCTGGTGCCAAGAGCCCGGAGCGTTGCAGTGATTCCCCCTGTGCTCACAGACACCTCCCAGTGCTGCCCCAGCACCGCTCCCCTGGTGTTTCCAGGCCCTGTGGAGGAGGGAAACAGAAGGGGGGGACATCAGTCTGGGGGCTCAGGGTGGCTCTGTCCCCCCTCCCTGACCCCGTGCTCCCTCATTCCCAGATTATCCGTGTGCAGTCTCCGGAGGGAGTGAAGAGAATCACGGCCACGAAGAGAGAAACCGTGGGGACGTTCCTCAAAAAGGTACCCCGGGGTGCCAGCGCCCTCCCAGGGCATGGGGCAGGGCTCCCCTGGCTCTGTCCCCTGGGAGATCCCCGTTTAACCCCCTGGCAGCAGCGAGGAGCAGCATTCCACGTGGAAAAACACACTTGGATTGGTGTAGCTTGTGTTGTTCCAGAGGGAAAATCACAAATTTAAAGAAAAAACTGCCTCAGCTTCTCTGTCGGGGCTTCCTAGGGTGGGAATTTTCCTGGGAAGGACTTTTTGGGCCTCTCCCAAAGAAGTGGCAGCTGGGAAGCAGAAGGGGAGCTGTGGGATGGTCAACCCTGCTGCTCCAGGAGGGTTCCAGGCTGGCTCAGCTGCTGGATTTGGGTTTGGAATATCGTTTGGGTGGGCTGTGTGTGCTCCTGGTTCTGCAGTGTGGATTTGGAGAGAGCAGGGCAGGGATGGAGAGAGATCCCAGGAGCTCTGGGGAGGGGAGCACACTGGGGATAGGGCTGGCCCTGCTGGGATGGGGCTGCTCTGTGTTCCTCAGGAGGGAGCAGCTCTCCCTTTGCTCCCCTCCTGGGGTTCCTCTGGGGGTTCTTTGCTCCATGAGTGTATTCCTGAAGGGAAGGGAATGGCAGCAGTGGGAACCTGCCCTTTGTGAGTCACAGCTTGGGCTGAAGCTGTGGCCCAGACAGGACAGCATTCCCTGACAGCGTTCCCACCTGGCCAGGAAAATCCTGCTGTTTTTCAGGGCTGCCTCAGGGACACTCCCTGCAGCCCCAGCCAAGGCAAGAGGAGCTTGCAGGAGCTCTGGAGCCTGTGCAGAACGAGCTGCTGCTTTCCAGGGCTCGGGTTACTCAGGTTGGAAAACACTTCCTGCCAGGACAAAGCACCTGGAGTTGCCTGTTCTTCTGGGGAAGGCTCTGTGCTCTGGCTGAGCTGCAGCAGGGATGTGTCCAGTTGGGTTTATTTCCTGCTGCAGAGTCTGCTTGGAAGAGGAAAGTGGCAAATTTTCCCACCTGAGGTCTGTGTTTTATCTAAATCCAGGTCTCTCCTACCTGTGCTGTGGATTTTAATGCTGGAATGTTCACCCAGGGGCTGGGTTTGGTGTTTAGGGGGGCAGCTGCAATTAGAGAGGTGTCAGATTGCTGCTTCCATGCCAGGAATTAACCTGGATCTGCTCCAGGAGTGCTCAGGGAATAAAGGGCTGGAGAATCTTCCCTGTCTCCTGTGGCACATCCTAGGGAAAAGCACCAAAAAAGTCACTCTGGCTGTGCCCAGGATCAGGAATCAGCTCAAACCTGCTGTTAATGTGTTGTGGGATTTGTCTGCCCCCAAAAATGGAATTCTGTGGCCTGAGGAGCAGGAGCTGGTCCCTG